AATGGATTCAGAAGATCTTATCATAATGCTGCTTCTCGAAACGAGTGTTTCAGCTTTGTTTCTCAGAGCCGAGTCCCCTGTTCTGTCCGCCTCACATAATTTCAAAGCAATGTCGCTCTTGCTGAGTGAGATCTCGAAAGGTGTGCTGATGTTATTTGTCACCGATGGCAGCTCGCTTGGAGCAACCCTAATATTGCTAGTAGAAGTATGTCTTTCCTTTGTTGCCTCATTTGTGGTGGCTTTTGGAGCGGCCAGCTCAGAGGGGAAGATGGTAATGCTACTTGTCATTTTATTTGTCATGGTTTTAAAGACAGGTTTCTGTTTTTCAGAGATTGTTTCAGCCCCAGCCCCTCCCATTACTTCTTTCATGTCCTTTTCAACGATTACAGGCTTAATAACAGCTTTGGATCTCAGCGCTTCTCTAGGGCTGAATGACCTTCTGGATTTCAATCCGAGGCTGGTGGCATCTGAAGGTATTTTGATGGGTTTAGTGGATTCTTCTTCATTTCCAGTACTGTTATCATTTTCAAAGATAGACGGTCTAAATACTCGTCTGGAGCTTGGAAATTCTCGGGAATTAGGTCTTTTTCTTGGCTCTAGTTCTGACTGGCTGCTAGCTTTCATACTTTTGCCTATCTCCTCATTTGGATAAAGTTTCTCATCGCTTGTTGGTTTAACGGCTTTGGATCTCAAGGAGTCTGATTTCAGACCGATATTTGTGAGATCACTTATTGAGGCTGCGCTCTGGTCCGTTTCTTCTTTGTCCAGAGCTGTGAGATTCTGTATAATGTCTTCCTGGCTTTTGGAGTTGTGTGAGTGCCTCATGAGAACTGAAGGCTTTGCATTTTCAAGTAAAGCGTCTGCAAATTCTTTTTCCTGGGAACTGATTGTCCTTTTCGATTTCCCTTCCAAGGGCGGCCTGTGGGACAAAGCAGCGGGCACTCCTACTTCTGCTTTCAAGCTACTGGGTTCATCTGGTGGCAGCTGGGGAGAAAGGTGGCATCTACGTGAAAAGCCTGTTCCATTGGGTGGTGCATGGTTACTTTTGGTAAAGACCGTCTCTACACAGTGATCAGATGTCTCCAACTGAGTTATTTTAATTTTTTCTGCCAAGAACACAGATGCTTCTCCTTTGTTGGGTTTTTCATTGAGCACAACAGAAGTACTGTGGCAAATATCACTACCTGTTTGAGAGAGTTTTTCAACCTTAGTCTTCAGCCCACTTTCATTCCCAGGTTTAGAAGACATCCTCCAAGCTTTCTGCTCATGCGCAGCAGGGGGGTATCGACTCAGGACAGAGGGCTGCTCTCTTGATTTCTTCCCTTCGCTCTGTGGAACATCTTTCTGTGTGGAGAAGTATGTAGCAATTGTTGATCTGTCTTGTTGATCCACTCTTTTTGTTTCGGCGACCGCAGTGTCCAATAGAGCAGATTTACTAGATGCCTTTGTTGCTCTCATGCTGGTTAAACTGGGACTGGAAACTTGCTTGCTGCTTTGCAGATAATTGTTATTATTGAAAGAGAAGTCCCTGTTCCGTGTCCTCTCACGTCTATGCTGCGGCGAAAGCTCCCGTGACTTGTGTTTTGCAACTGATAGCTCAGCTGGGATACCTCTGCATTTAGATTTGTCGTGTCGGACTCTGCCAGGGAAGCTCGTATCTTCATTTTCCACCTCACCATTCTCCAGGTCTTTCTGTTTTTTGATTTGCATTTTAATTTCTTCTAATTGGTCAATTAAGAGCTTGTTTTTATTCTGTTCACTCAGATAACTGTCTTGAAGGTCATTATTTTTGGCTTTCATTTTTTTAAGTTCCTCTTCTAAAGATTCAAAATGTTTAATTTGAGTTTTTAATTTCTCAATTTCTTGGTTCAGGTCCTTCACTTTATTGTCTTCTTGATTTTTATTCTTTTGATTTTCTGATTTATTTCGGGTTTCATTTTCAACATGCTTTCGGTAATCTAAGCTTCCCTTTCTTCTGGCTTCTTTGGAAGCCAATGAAGAAGTCAAGTCATCTTCAATTCTCAGGTCATTTCTATCCAGAAGACTGTTTGATGACCTTTCTAGCAAATTTGATGCATTTCTAGTTTGATCAGCTCTGTTTAGCTTGTTATTTTGTTCAAGCTTTTGCGTTAGTTCTTGAATTATTTTCTCATTCTGCTTTTCTCTTTCATTAAAGTGTTTTCTTTCATTAACAAAGCTCAGAGCTAAAGATTTCAGTTTTTCTAACTCACTTACTAAACTCTGTTCAGTTTTATCTAACCTGTCTTCAGAGGTTTCAAGTTCTTTTACTTTCACCCTAAACATTTCCAGTTCTGTAGAGATTTTTTTGGTCAGGTTCTTTTCTTCATTGAGACTCAAGCACAGCTGAGTACAGTCATTCTTACTCCTGCCAAAAGCTTCCTCTAGTTTTTCCAGCTCTGCCATTCGCTTCTGAAGTCGTTCAATTTCTGATTTAAGCTCACGGGTGAGACTTTCCTCCTCTTCTAGTTTCGCTTTCATCAGCCGACAGAGCTCTTCAGCTTTCTTGATTTCTTCATCCTTGCCTTCAATTTTCAGCACTCTTTTTCTCAGTGCTTCAACATCAGCCAGCATGCTAGAATTGCTGCCTTCTACCTGGATAACTTTGTCCTGGAGATCCAGAATCTCATCCTCAGCTTTCTGGAGATTTTTCGTTGCTTCCTCTAGTTCATCAAGACGACGGCCAAGACTCTGCAACTTGAAGCGTAGATGGCGATTAGAAGTTTCCTTGTAGCCTGTAAATTCAGCCATCTTTACTCTTTGATCTTATTGGATTCCGTTTCTTCCAGTCAGGATCAAGGGAGCGATTTTAGAACTTTACTTTTCTACAGCTCCTTTGATGGAGGCGATCTGAGCCTGAAAAAAGAAATCATAAAGTGAGTACAAGGGCTGCCAAGATTTTGGGGGCTGTTTTTTGCATAATCCTTCCTTGAATTAAACATATTGCCAATCGTTGTTAAGGACGTTAGAAAAGATCAACAATAAATTTAATCTAATTGATTTAGTTTGTATACTGTCCCCAGTGCTAGCCCACCACCGACGGGAGAAAAATAGGAAGACCCTCCTAGGCTGAGTGAGACAGGGAATGCATTTGTATCCACTGAATGACCCTCCAAGACTGTTTGAAGGAATGTATGGACGTATCTGCATGTGCATGGACACATGTAGGCAGGCCCATCCATGTGCAAGTCCCTGTGTATGGGTGGTCAATGCAACGTATATGCAAGATGCAGATTCCTACACAAAACTACCCATTAGAAGACATTCTGCTTCAAGGGAATATACAAATCTTAGCAAGACTCTTGCAAGCTATAGAGCAGTGGCTCCCAACCTTTTTTAGACTCAAGGCACCCCTCAAAAGATGGTAACTCTTAGCTTTCATTCATTTCTTGACTGTAGAAAAATAACAATAACAATAAAAATATGCAATTCTTCTGTGGGCACAACAGGTCTGAGCATTTCTGACACCATGGATTCCTATTTGAAATTGCAGGACTTATCTTGTGAATCGCATGTAGGTGTTTGCACATTTAGCAGTACTAATATTATGTAGTACCCTTAAAAGCACCCTGGCTGAGAATTACTGGTATAGAGCCAGCGATCATAAACTAGACGCAGAAGTAAGATCCTGAGAGGCAATTCAGGTATCTAAAGCAGAACTTAAGTGACTGTAGGGGCAGAATTCAACTATCATTTGAGCACTTAACATTTTTTCCAAACGTGCAAGAGGCCTTTTTGGCCCTTACACACAATTTGTGATGCTGTTACCCTTTATTACCTGTGCAGGATAGACCTGTAAGTGTACATGTGTATTCAGAGCATACACAGCAGGCCAGGCATGGGCCAAGCAGCTACCCATGCCCCCATGTACAACATGCACAGGTCCCTAATCCTGGCCAGACAGAACTCCATGATAAAAGGATAATTAGGAAAATTCCTGTGGCTCCCAGGCCGCAGGAATGCACCACAGCCTTGAAGGGCGTCCCAGCTGGGAGCTCATGGCTGGGAGAGCCAGCCCACTGATGGGGACTCCTAGGCCCAGGGGCACACCAGTCACATGTTCAATTGAGGGCACCATGGGAACCAGCCACAAAATTATACATATTTTGTGTAATAACTTTGTGACTTATTCCCTGTGTTTTTGTGCCATTAACTGCATGAACATGTGGCTGGTTACTACTTAAGACATGATTAACTAGTTAATCACGTCTTAAGTGTAAAGTTGCCAGGGGCGCTAGAGACCAGACTACTCCACTTATTAGAAATCTCAGTGGATTTAAGCATCTAAATGCAATTTTAATCCACCCTGTTCAAATCCCTGAAAATCCATTAATGTGGCTACTTTTGCTACAAACCATAATCTGTCTCTTAAGACTGAGTCATAAAGAAGCAGCAATGGGGAGGAGGAACCATCCACCTACTGTATTTACTGCTGAGCAGGGTGGAATGGTATCATACTTAAGCACCTAAGTCCACCTGGATGCCTAATAGGTGAACAGAATCTGGGCCCTAGGGGCAGATGTGCGTGGACATTTGGTTCCCCGGGGACAAGTAGCAGCGGTGGACATTGTGACGCTGCTACTTGACCCTAGGGAACGCCCATGCCACACACTTTGGCATGCGGCAAGTTGCTCTGGGTGGGGTAGGGGAGGCTGGGGTCAGCACTGTGCTGGCCCCAGCAAACTTACCTGGGGTCCCTAGGGCCTCCCAGGGCTGCCACTGCAGCATTTCTGCTGCACAGGGCCTGGCCGTGAGCCGCAGCATGGCTCCAGGTGGCCCAGCTCCACTTTTCAGCAGCGTGCGCTGGCTGAGCATGGGTTGCAACCATGTTTTTCCCCCCATGGTTTGTTTTGACCCCTGGATATCCAGGGGTCAAAAAAAATGGAGGGGAAAAAACCTGGCACAGTGCATCCTTGGGCAGCGTGCTCTTGCAGCATGGAGAACAGCAGACTGCGTGGTATGTTGTGTTGCAAATGTGTTTGCAGCACCAAACTGTTTGAGAAAATTATTCTGGCACGCATCCAGGAGGGC